TTTTTTGGTTGCAGCCATTATTGTTGTTTGGTGGGCCCGGGCTGGGGATTCGAACCCGCCACCTTAGGTGTATGTGGCTGGCGCCTTAGCCGCTTGAGACACAGGCGCCGAGCCGATTACCACATTAATTAAGTTGATTTTAATTTTTTGTTTTGCAGCAAGTTTCAGGGATTATCCTTAAGTAGGCCTTTTGGGTGCACATGTATTTTTCTAGGATAAATATAGGCACACCTCAGAGATGACATGGGTTTGGTGCTAGACCAAAGCAATTAAAGCAGATACTGCAACAAAGCACATCAAGTTTTTTGGTTTTCAAAAAATATATATAAAATACATGTAAAAGTATGTTTTTACTCTACCATAGTTTATCGAGCATGGGATGGCATTATGTCTTTAAATAGTCCTTACTTAAGGCCAGACAAGGTAGCTCACCTCTGTAATCCTAGCACTCTGGGAGACTGGGGCAGATTGTTTGAGCTTAGGAGTTTAAGATCAGCCTGAACCAGAGTGAGACCCCATCTCTAAAAATAGTTGGACATTATGTTGGGCGCCTGTAGTCCCAGCTACTCTAGAGGCTGAGGCAAGAGAATCACTTGAGCCTTGAGGTTTGAGGTTCCTGTGAGCTATGACACCATGGCACTCTACCAAAGGTGATAAAATGAGACTCTGTCTCAAAAATGAAAAAAGCCCTTAATTAAAAAATAGGTTTTTTGGGCTTAGCGCCTATAGCATAGTGGTTACAGCACCAGCAACATACATCGAGGCTGGTGGGTTTGAACCTGGCCTGGGGAAGCTAAACAACAATGACAACTGCAACAAAAAATAGCCTGGTTTTGTGGTACCTGCAGTCACAACTACTTGGGAGGCTGAGGCAAGAGAATCTCTTAAAGCCCAAGAGTTTGAGGTTGCTGTGAGCTGTGATGCCACAGCACTCTATCAAGGGCAAAATAGTGAAACTCTGTCTCAGGGAAAAAAAAATACTTTTTTTGTTAAAAAATGTTAACAACCATTTGAACCTTCAGCCAGTCATCTTTTTTATCAGTGGTAAGTGTTGTCTCACTGTTGATGACTGCTGACTGATGAGCTTGGTGGTTACTTGAATATTGGGGTGGCTATGTCAATTTCTTTTTCTATCTTTTTTTTATTAGAGACAGAGTCTCACTTTATCATGCTCGGTAGAGTGCAGTGGCATCACAGCTCACAGCAACCTCCAGCTCTTGGGCTTAGGTGATTCTCTTGCCTCAGCCTCCTGAGTAGCTGGGA